CAAATTCTCTTACAAAGCAGAATTTAATGGGATTTATTTTTTGAATTGAAATCCCAAAAATTGTAACCATGTTGCTCATGGTATTAGGACAATGGGCCCGTAACTGTAAGAGAGAATGTTGATTGGGATGTGTGGCCTCAGTGGCTTCTTTGTCTCGTCAATTTTGATCTCAGTTCTTTTACTGCTATATAAATTGATGATCTTTTTGGTTTAGACTAGTCAAATCTACCAATTAATTTGTCACTCAATTTCTAATTATAACCCGTGGAAGTTAGGCATTTAAGCTAGTCCAATCCACTAAATATTTTAATTTCGGTTGCAGACGAGGTAGCTGAACATCCCTAAATTTTATTTTCTTTGACTCTGTCTCTCTAAAGCTGGATTCAAAATGAGTAGCTAAGGTAAAAAAAAATTTCCAAAGCCAGAAACCGCAACCAATTCGAGGATCCAATAAATTCATTTTAAAGTAAGTTAAATCACGACATAATAATGTTGTGGAGTGGCTTCAGTTTGAAATTGTATCACAACATTACTGTAATGTGAGTTAATATTTATTGTAACGTACTTTACTAATTAGAGGGAAGATTTTGGTCCCAGGAGGAGCAATGGCCCTAGAGTCCCCTCTCCACCACTGCAATAGATAGAATGAAAGGAATCTTTTTTAGTAGTTTTTTTTTATTTTTTTGTTTTATTTTTTTTTATTTTTTTTTTTATCAGGGTATTCATGGCTTTGACCTCGACTAATTTGGAATCTTTTTTAGTAGTTTTTTTTTTTTTTTTGGTAATCAGGGTATTCATGGCTTTGACCTCTACTAATCCTTGAGACATTGTATAAAGTGCTCCTTTAACATGGGTCAGGTAAAGTTTGTATTTTTACATACATAGTTTCGAGAAATTGTTTGCACTCAAGGATTATCAGATTTGATGTTTTACCTAAGTAATTTACCATTAGTGCCAACCCCTTGGGGATAGGAATCTTTAGTTTTGGAGAAAGGAAAATCCAGGATTTATTTGTTATATATGAAATACTAACAAATTGCGTAAATATATATATATATATATATATATATATATATATATATATATATATATATTTGTGTTTAATATACTTTTTACATTTTTTTCTTTCCTATTTTTGTTTTTATTTTTATATACCTTTTACTTTTTTTGTGTGTCCTTTACTCCTTTATAAACAAATGCATAGTGTGATATATTGAAGAATGCCATTAAATTAATTTGAAGTATATATGCACAAGTAAAAATTCCTTGCAAAATCAAAATATATGGATACAACTCTTGTAGTTATGTTATTTTAAAAGTATTCTTTATATTGTTTTTGGTAGGAAGAAAATATTGGATGGATGGAAAAGAAAAAGGGATGTATATGTAGTTCATTCTTTCAGTTCGATTGGATAAAAAAAATAAATAAATAAATTTTAATTGTGCAAATAGGTTAGTGACCTAACGGTATCAGATTTCTACTTGTCAAAGAGAAGTCATGAGTTCACGGCTCAGTGGAGACATGTGTGTGAGTATCAATTAAAATTTTTTTTTACAATTATATCTAATAATATTTATATTACTGTAATTTAAAAACTTCTCCATTGAATCAAGGAATTTTTTTTTTCAATGACAGTAAAGTCGCAAAAAGATGTATTGTAACCCAACTTAAATCTAATATGACCATTATCTCATTTGCTTAAAAGCTTTTGCTTTTTTTTTTTTTTCAAAAAAAAAAAAAAAATCTGGCAATGGCTAGTAGTTAGTTAGGGGAGAAAAAATCAAATCAAGAATCAATAAGGTGGAACACTTTGACCTGTCTCTCATGGCGATCTTGGCTCTATAAACACACTCAAGAATGCCATTGATAATTTTGCTGCACTGTCTGGACTCTCCATCAACCACAGCAAAAGTAATTTCTTTGTTGCGGGTATTGATAATAATCAAGTAGAGAGCATCAAGAATCTACTAGGGTTTGAATGTGGGGAGCTTCCTTTCAAATATCTTGGAGTTCCTTTGGTTTCTTCCTCCTTAAAATCGGCTGATTGTCGTGGACTGGTGGAGAAAGTGACTAGGAGAATTAATCACTGGTCTTCCAAATTCATCTCATATGCAGGTCGAGTCCAATTGATTCATTCAGTTCTCTACAGCATGGTCAATTACTGGCTTAGCCTCTTTATCCTACCTAAGGCTGTCCTTGCTGAGATCAATAACCTATTGAGGAACTTTCTTTGGTCTGGGAATAATCTTAAGATCACTGGAGCCAAGATCAACTGGCCAGCTGTTTGCCAACCAAAGAGCTGTGGAGGGTTGGGGTTCAAGAATCTGGAAATTGCTAACAGGGCAGCATGCCTGAAGCACATTTGGACAATCATCTCTTCGGATAGGGACAACCTATGGGTTCATTGGGTGAGAATGCAGCTAATTAGGGGGAGATGTTTTTGGACCATCAACACTCAACAAAACTCATCTAGCAATTGGGAAAGATTGTTGCAGCTCAAGGGAACTGCTAGGTCTATGGTTAAGAAGAAGGTTGGTAATGGTACACAAACCTTCTTCTGGGATGATAATTGGCTTCAAGATGGGCCTTTACCCCTTAGAGCATCGGTGGTCTTCATTAGGGACTCCCTTATACCCCGTGAGCAGAAACTCTTTTCTCTGTCAAATATCAACACTTGGGACTTCCCCCCAGCCATGACTCATCATTTCCCGGATCTTTTACTCATTGATCCACCATCCCAATCCTCAGACATCGACGTTTGGCTCCCCTCTTCCACAGGGAAATTCTCACTCTGCCATACTGTTGAATGGCTTGCCCCGCACTACCAACCCAAAGTGTGGTATCACCTAGTCTGGAATTCCTTTTCTATCCCGAGATGCAAATTTACACTTTGGCTTGCAGTTCAAGGACGCCTCTCCACCTATGACCGTCGATGTATGCAATCCTTCAACAGATCTAGGCTTTGCCGTCTCTGCCAAACGAGAGAGGAGTCTCACGACCACTTGTTCTTCACATGCCCCTTTACGAAGCCAATTTGGTCCTTCCTGCAACATAAATGTAGATTTTGGGTGGCTCATCTCAACTGGGACGGATTTGTCAATTGGGCATCACAGCACTGGAGCTCTCGGAACTTGCAAAATTCAATCAACAAAATCGTTTTGTCTACTGCTATTAACCAGATCTGGAATGAACGCAACAGCCGTGCCTTCAAGAATCAAAGACGCTCTCAATCAAGGGTTTTGAATCAAACAATGGACATGGTGAAATGGCGGCTGCTTTCCATGCGGATTAAAGACTCAGCATCGGCTCGGAGAATCATCCTTGACTGGAATCTTCCCCAATCCATTATCAGGCCACCGCCGGAGCCGGATTGAAAGTTGGAGGCTCGGCCTCTTGCTTGGAACCACCGGATGCACACAACTGACTGAGACAACGTTTGTCTAGAATCTTCCTTAGCCTATATTTGTCTTAGGGCAGCTGTTTGATTGGGCTTGGCCTTGGGCCCGCCTTTTCTGGTAAAATGGGCTAAGTGTAGCCTTCTGTTTTTGTTTGGGCCTTGGCCTTGTATTCCTTTCATTTTCAATTCAATATACCTAACTTTCCGAAAAAAAACAAAAAAACACTTTGACCTGACTCTTTTATCCTCTAATAATACCACCAGATCTTTTTGGATTCTGTACTTAAACAGGCACAGAAAGGCTTCGCCTAAATGGGGTCTGTGGACCATTTTGTCAACAAAGAACTTGCAGGAAATCATTTCCAGTCAAAGACTAGCCGTATTTGAAACATTTCCACCGAAAGAATCAAACTAATTAGATAGCGTTCACATTATACCGCTGCTCAAGAAAAATACTACTCAAACTTCAAGTGATTGACTTTAGCTATAAGTTATGGTTTTGCTTGTTGCAAAATAAATAAATAAATAAAAAATAATAAAAATAAATACCCGGACCCGTGTGAAGGGTACGTTCTGCACAATATCTCAGAAATTTAGTGGAAAGCAAAGTATCGAATACCACGGTTACCTAAAAATAAAACCAATACCACATGCATATATGTTTGTATTAAATAGTCCATCCCTTATTTTACACCACAATTTTTTTTTACAAAACTAAATGTTTAACCACTATGTCTTGTAGACCATATTTATACAAGCTTCTTTCCAAACACAGAATAGTGATCTTCTGTTTTGGAAAATTTAAAGATTCATTTTTTTCCCCCTTCTTTTCCGGATAAGGTTGTACGAGCATGCTTTACAAATAGTCTCGGTCTTCTGGGTCACTAGTGTGTATGCAAAATTTTGGAATTTATTTGGAATATAAACAATTAGAAGTCTTGAACTGTGAAGGTTTAAGTTGACTTCTCAATAAGTTCACATTCCAGAGTTGTGAATTCATTCCAGAGGCTGGTGTGAATCCGTTCCATTCATTTCATTTCATCCTTTCATTTTCCTTCCTTATCTTCCACTAGCCAAACAGAAACTTGACCCACGCTGTTTCATCACTTCACCCTATCAAGATCAATATTTATGTTTCCCAAAATAACCTCTAGATGAGTACATCCATGACGTGTCAGTATCTTAACTTGATATGAAATATTATAATGACACGGCATAGCCCACTCAAAATCTTCTCCTTAACCAGATCCCTTTTGTTTTCCAGTTTCCACTGTCGGTTAAAATCATTTTCCTCCCACTTAAAAAGGAATCATTCGGAGTTCCACGTGCTTACCTTGCTGTTCAACTCATAATTAAAGAAGACTGTAATCCTTATTTTCCTCAAAGATTTCTAAACAATTTTGATTCACTATTGAAAGTCTGCAACATTAAAATTTAGTGTGATTCACCACACGAACTCCAAACTAGTCCATGCCACTCCAAAAGTATTTGACTCATAATCAAATTTTCTTTTATTATTATTATTATTATTATTATTATTATTATTATTTTTAATAGGCTAAAACATTTTATAATAAAAATAGGTATAAGTATGTACAGTGACGGACCCGGAAAATTATGTCAGGGGGGCGTCCTTTTAATAACAATTTTTTTTTTTTTTTTTAATAATTAAGCAAATTCATTAAAGGCGTTCAAAAGGGGAACGCGTCCCAAAAACAACAAAAGGATCCCATTGAACACATTTACAATTCAGATCATCATAATAAGCAAAAATATTTTTTTTGTTCATTGAATCATTGAGCACATTCACAATTGTCCCCGACGACTTTTCATATTTTGAAAACGTTGTATGATAACTTCATTATCCATGCCACTAGATATCTCCTTTTCAATATATACTATCAAGCTATCACTCATCCATTCATCTCCCATTTTGTTGCGCAATCGGTTCTTTACGATATTCATAGCAGAAAATGCCCTCTCTACACTAGCAGTTGCAACTGGTAGGATCAACGCTAATGTCACAAGCAAATAAACTAGTGAATGTACCTTGTCTCTTTTGGTTTCCACCATTTTTTTCGCAAGGTCACCAATCCCTTTTAATCCTTCAAACTCGCAATTAGAACGCATATCCGCAATATAATTCTCAAGTTGATCACTAAGTCTCATGAGAGCATGTGAAGAAAATTCTTTGGGATAAAATTGAGCAAGGCGGATTAGTTTTTGCTTTTCAAAAGCACAAAATGAATCATCCGGACACAAACAAGCCACACAAAGCAACAACTCGGAACTCATTTCAGAAAAACGACTAGTTAACTCTTGAAGTTGCATATCTATGATGGAATAAAACAAATCAACACGATAATGATGCAAGTTTGACTTGTCATGAGCTTTACGTCATAGTCTTCCTCGAGGTAGAAATGTATCATCCATATTAGGAATAGCAATGTCATGTTTCACACAAAAAGAAGAAACTTCGTTGAGTAAAGAATCCCATCCACTTTCCCTCATCCTTTGTAATTGGACCTTACTTAATTTGACCAAGGACATAGCAACCACAATATCTTGATCTTTCCTTTGAAGTGCCTTTGACAAATCATTTGTAATTCCCAAAACAGCTCTCATCAAATGCAAACAAAATATGAAGTTAAAGGATTGTATAAATTCCAATAAAAGATTTACTTCAAACTTTTTTTCCTGATGACCCATCCTCTGCAAGTGTCTCAAGTACAGTAACAATAGCTGAAAACATAATAGTCACGCTAATCAAAGTGTCATAATGTGAACCCCAACGTGTATCACTAGCTCGTTTAAGAGAAGTGTTTTGATTTAGGCCTTGCCCACTTGAAAGCTCACCATTGTTAAGTGCCTCGGTAACTATAGAAGCTTGCTTCTCTCGAAGAATATCACAACGTTTACATGAACCACCAACTATATTTATAAGATTAGCAACAAAAGTGAAGAGAGAAACAATATCCTCATGTTTTTTTGCCATACCCACGAGAGCCAATTGGAGTTGATGGGCAAAACAATGAATGTAAAAAGCACATTCACTCTCCTTCAAGATGAGAGTTTTGAGACCATTGAACTAACCTCGCATATTACTAGCCCCATCATAACCTTGCCCTCGTAATCTAGAAATGCTCAACCCATGTCTAGAAAATAAAGCATCAATCGCCTTCTTGAGTGAGATGGAAGTGGTATCAGAAAGATGCACTAGACCCACAAAACGTTCAACTACATGCCCATTCTTGTCCACATACCGTAAAACACAAGCCATTTGCTCCTTTGTTGATATGTCCTGAGATTCATCAATTAGAATAGAAAAAAAAGCATCACCAATATCTCCGATAATAACATTGAGAGTCTCCAATGCAATGGCATTAACAATGTCCTTTTGGATCTTAGGTGCCGTTAATTTGTGATTTTCAGGAGCATTTTGCAATGTAACCGCATTAATGTCTTCATTATGATTCGCAAGAAATCGCAATGTCTCGAGAAAATTCCCTTGGTTGCTTGAATCCTCGGTTTCATCGTCACCACGAAATGCAAGACCTTGTCGCAAAAGATGTCGAACACAATCAATTGATGCAATCAATCGTGTTCGATATGCAATTCGTGTCTTCTCTGATTGCTTGAAGAAAATTGATTGAATGTGTTGTTTTTGTTTCATTAATGCTTGGCACATACTCGAACATTGGTTGTGGGCACTTTTTGGACCTCCAATGTGGCTTTGTAGTTTTTCCAAACCCTTCTTCCAATTAGAAAATCCTTCACTTACGAAGGTATCACCACCCGATTGTTCTCCGATTTTTGGTTTAAAAAGATAACAACATAGACAATATGCTTCATCTTTATCTTTGCTATATTCTAACCAAGTAGAAAAGGCATCAAACCATGCTGGGTTGAATCGTCGTAAGCATTGCCCATAACTCTTATAAGGAAAATGATATTTTTTAGGTTGGCAAGGACCCTTTAGTAAATATGCTCTTCGAATTTGATCTCGAATATCGGGATGGTAATTCAATATCGGAGTTCGTAGTCCAGGATCTGCAGCTAGATCCTCAAGGTTGATCTCTACATCACTTATCTTTGAAGAGCCATCATCTCTTCTTAGAGATGGTGGCAACCCTCTTGTCACAAATTTGTTCATTACTGATCAATTTCCTATAGAGAGTGACGACATTTTAGTTTGGTTTCTTAGTGATCAATTTCCCATCAACAAAATAAACACATTCAAAAATTGCATATTATAATAGATTGTGCGCCTGTGTTGTTGTGCATTATAATAAAATAAAAATAAAAAAAGAAATTAAACATTTAGAAATTGCATATGCGTTGTTATTAGAAAAAATAAACCAAAGGGAGTACCTATACAAAAGAACTTAATCTTGTAAGTTGCAACACTGAACACTCCCAGACTCCCAGTATCATTTAATGCCTCCTCAATTGAAAATACAAAGCAACTAAGTTTTGTATACATGTATGTGTGTATATATTCAAATGGAGTAGAAAAATTAATGAAATATAAATTTTATTAATTTCTTATAAGATAGAATTGCAAGAGGTTGGGAGCTAATAAAAGAAATTACATTAAATGAAAGTAAATGAAATTAATTAAAGGTGCAATTAATGGACTAAAGTTAAGGTACAAATAAAATAAAAGAAAGCTAGATAGTAAAAAGCAAGGCATGAAAAAATGTAAATAAAGCATAAAACTAGACAGACTGAAATGTAAATGTGTCATGTGACTCATGTGTGTGTCGTCCAGAGAGAGAGAGAAAGCCCATTAAAGACTGATATTTCCAGGGAAAAAAAAATTATAAAGACTGATATATAATTATAAGGCAATAAAATCATGTACTCTCTCTCAGTCTCTAATCCTGTGTATTCTGTTTCATAGTCTACATATGCATTGCCTATCTGAACAATTCAACACATTCATGGATGTTAGTTTTCTTCCCACATTGATTGACACACAAACTTATGTACATATAACAGAGTTTACATAATATTTTGTTAGCCAGTTGAGACTTACAGCTATTCCTTTTAAGTTAATGACGGTCTGACTCTCTCTATATATTATTATTATTATTAAAGTAAAAAGTATATAAACACTAATTTCATTGTGGCTTCTTGAGACGGTGGGTGCTCATAATGTATTATTTTGATTTATTATATAAAAGTAATTTATAAAAAAATTAAAGTGAACACAACAGATCTTCTTCGATTCTTGAATCTTCATTATATATATATTTCTTTGTTGTTGTATTAGCAATTAACACATTAATTAGTCAATTAATTGTTTCAAGACGAGAAAGAGCATGAAAAGGCACATAAGTTACATAACCTAAATCACACTAACAAAATCAAGAACGATTAAGCAGTAAACAACATACGAATTTAGATTACAGGCTGAAAACGAATGATCAATTCTCATTTTAAACAGAAATCTAACACATAAATGATAAATCAACAACCAAAATCGAGCAAATAATCAGTTCTTGAGATTTGAGAACCAATAAAAAAAGAAGAAGATCAGTTGAAATACCTTCGATTTGCAGTGTAAAAGTTGAGAGATCAGAGACCAAAGTTGTGGAATAATAGCAGTGAAGACTGAAGAGAGAAGCGACCGGATAAGGGCTAGGCACGGTCCCGAGGATGAAAGAGAAGCTCTGACAACGAGAAGAAAAGGTCGATGGGCCAGTATATATTTTGGGAACTTAATAATGGGGGTATTTGTGAAATTTTAGGGGGGGCATGATATATATTCTAAAAAAAAGTGTAATATATAATAGGAAAAAAAAATAATTTAGGCAGGTCCGTGCCTGAGTATGTATGAATTAATTGAACTTTATTTTTAACTTCAACCCATTACATCCAACTTGAAATAATATGTAAAAGAGTAATGTGCATAAAACTCTCTGAGCTTTACTCTCTCTACCTAATAACTCCTAATGGTTTTTTAAGCAAAAAACTCCCTAAACTATCCAAATTTTTGTAAAAATAAACGCAGGATCACATTTTTTGTTGATTTTGTCTGTGAAAGAGGCACTTGACCTATGATGTAAATTTAAAATGGCAAATTTGCCCTTATAAGTTGAGAGGGAGAGAAACCCCCAAACCGGTCGCTCCAATCATCGCCGCCATCGGTGACCTGGTTGGTTGTTGCAGAGTGATTTTGTACGTACATAGTTGCAATGGACTGGTTGGTTGTTGCCATTGGCACTGTAATGGCTCTGTTTGGCGCTGAAGTGTTTGGACAGTAAGGTGGTGTTTGGTAAAGCAATCATGTGTTGTCCTAATATTTTTGGATGTCCATATTTCATTAGACAACATTAGGAATAGAAACCAATAAAACACGAAACCAATAAAACACTAAAATGACATTTAACAAAAAGGTAATTTTGTAATTAAACGTCTTTCATAATATCTGATGTTAGAGACTATACATTTTGTCCTTAAATTGCACATTTTAAATGGTTCAGTCACTTCTTAATTCAAGGTTTCGTGCTTTTGACCTAAAGTTTAGAAAGATTATATGCACTTTACCCTGTGTAAAATTAAATGTAATTGTATTGTGGGAAGATAATTACGATATGGTGGTATACGCTGCAGGGGATAATGTCTTTCATGGTCAATAAACTTAACCAACAAGAACTAGCGACACATGCATGTAAGTGAGATTATGCTTCATAAGTCAAAGGACGGCTTGCTTCTAGTCTATGATTGTGAGATAATTGCCTGTACGTGCGTATTATTCATGCACTCCTATAGATGAGGTAAAGAACCATGTCAGAGTGTTGCTATCAGTGCGTGATCATGGGTTGAAAAATGAATTTTCAAATAGAATTTTCGAGTCCCACATGTTTTTATGTTGAAAATTGATACACTATTCAAAAGTCGATAGTAATATGTTAATACAATTAGATATGTTCCATTTTCAAATGTTGTATCATAACTCTCTTTTATATTTGTGATACCATCGTTCCAAATCACATTAATTTATCTATTGAATCAAAACAACAAAAATTCTTTCAAGTGTATAAGTCAATTTCAATAATAGCTCCTAATAAATTTGTTATACGCGGTTTACCAACTTTACACTCAAGCTACGTTTTAACCACTCATCTTGGGATTGAAATTAGGTTTTATCCAAAGATTATATGAAAACCGAAATTTGGAAGGAGAGATTCGGGTCACTCTTCGTCTCCTTCGACTTGAAAAGTCTTTACTATGTATGCATCAATTAAAAATACGGAGTATTTAGCTAAGAAAATGTCTACCATTGCTCGGCTTTAAAAATTATTCTCCAGTAGTATATATATGAAGACATCTGGGGGCCTTTAATGAAGACCATTTCTCCTCTCCTCCTTCAAATCCTTTTCTGTTTTTTTGGGTGAATAAATTTTCCTCCTTCAAGTACTTCCATAGACACCAACCATGTTTTTAGAGAAAGAGCATATTGCCAACTCCGAAACCACAGTCAATGACCGACAAGCTCGGCATAGCTCCACCGTCCAATTCACGGACAGTGGTAACTCAATCTCTCAAACGTCCCACTCTGAAAGTGTTCCTATTTCTATAGAACCTGAGAACTCGGCCATTCACACAAATACACCTCTCCCAAGCCAGCCCCAAACATCCAATCCCATTCTCGAACTTCTTCGAGACCAACAACTCCGAAAAACAGTTCTCACTCTCGTGGTAACCATGACCGCAGGAGTTCTTGCACTCAATAACAATGACCCATCATCCGTACACTTGTTGTCCGCGGCAGTGTCACTCAGCATCGGCCTGACAGCATTGTGGAACGGCATGTTGCTCCGCAACACGTTACCTGATGCTGTTGCAAACGCTGTGGAACAATTTGGGGCTGGTGCTATATTTTTCGCTTTCTTCTCGGTCATCGGCTCTTTACTTCCACCAAACTTTGCTTGGGTCCCGTGGACCTGCTTTGTCGCCGTGCTCGTACCTTCTATATTGACCTGTATCCCCGTTGGATATGGATGGAGCTTGCAATCAGCAAACTGAGAGGCCAATATCGTCTCTAGGGATCAAAATTCTCTCCAATTGTGATTTTAAAAATACACGTCATTGGCCGTTCATCTTTGGTTTTTTTTTTTTTTAATTATTTTTTTTTTCTAGACTCTGTAAAAAATATAATTTGTTTCTAATGTAAAAATAATATTTTATACATGCAAGGTAAATGATCATACGTTAATTAAATATTTTAATTTCGGTTGCAGAGGAGGTAGCTGGAACATCCCCAAATTTTATTTTCTTCGACTCTGTCTCTCTAAGGCTGGATTCAAAATAGTAATTGCTAGGGTAATATATGTGTGTGAAATTGGTACATGTATTCCTGAAGATATGCGATAGAAATAGTCATGTTTTATATAAGTTTCTTTACATGTATGTATATATCATGAATTTTAATTTCGGTTGTAGAGGAGGTAGCTGGAACATCCCCAAATTTTATTTTCTTCGACTCTGTCTCTCTAAGGCTGGATTCAAAATAGTAATTGCTAGGGTAATATATGTGTGTGTGAAATTGGTACATGTATTCCTGAAGATATGCGATAGAGATAGTCATGTTTTATATAAGTTTCTATACATGTATGTATATATCATGAATTTTAAAATCTCAATTTTGTTCCTTTTGGATCATAAAATTCAAAGAACTCAATCTGAATTATTCTATTCCATCTAATATAATAATATTTGCTTTCTCATTTTAAGAATAAAAAAAAAAAAAAAAAAAGTTAAGAATTGTGAAAGGTCAATTCGAGTCAACTACAAAGTCAAACACACACATATATATAAGTAGGATTATAATTTTTTGGGTTAATTATATTCACACTCCCTGAGGTTTATTCTATTGACAATCAGATGAAACTTAAGCCTTTTTTGAACAACCACATCCCCTCACATTTGATAAAGTTAACAAAGACACCCCTATTACATCTGACATATTACATCTGACATATGATGAATTGACTTTATTACTCTTTGACTATTAATTGACCCTTTTAAATACTAAAATTACACTTCTAACCTTCCACCCACCCATCACCACAATCACTTCACCATGAACATAAATCATCAAATTCAGGATGTGTGTGTCTGTTTGTATGATTACTAAAGAGTATA